ATAAATAAAACATTTAAAAAAAAAAAAAAGAAAGAAAGAACCTTGTTATTTAAATAGAAGATACTGGCCTACAGTCTTGGCGTACCGTAATGCCTATTCCAGGCCACACCAGGTCCAACTGAACACCTGGGAAACAGTGAGGCAGATAGATGGGCAATGGACCAACGTGTGGGACCTGAATGAGGGTCAGTCTAGTCCATTCCTGAACCCAGAAAGTGGAAGTTCTGTAAAATGAATCAAAGAACCATTCTAATGTGAAAAACAACGTAGTTCCCACTAGTAGCCATCCAGTGTCCAGCAAAAATATTTTCTCCAGGTATAGGCTGAATATGGGTGCAACTGATGTCTTTTTTAGCCCCAAACATCTCCACCAATGACAACCCCAAGAGCATATGGGCAACCAGACTGAGCAGGGGTTCAGAGCCAGCCACTGGAGAATCCTTGCTCCAACAATGTGATTCAGAGAGAATCAGACCGAATCTTCTCAGGAATTCAAACTTATCAGAACAAGTGCAGCAGGAGGGTACTGATTCAGTGGGAGCATATTCTAAGTGAATCAAGATCCTTAAAGGTAAAGACTGGAGAAGTTGAAAATCAAGGTATTTTTACAGGATCTGCAGCTGACCCTCTTTTTTTTTTTTTTAAAGGTTTTATTTATTTGACAGAGAGAGACACAGTGAGAGAGGGCACACAAGCAGGGGGAGTGGGAGAGGGAGAAGCAGGCTTCCCGCCGAGCAGGGAGCCCGATGTGGGGCTCAATCCCAGGACCCTAGGATCATGACCTGAGCTGAAGGCAGGCACTTAACAACTGAGCCACCCAGGCGCCCTGCAGCTGACCTTCTTGAGACAGTTCAATTTTGTACTGAAATGACTACTATGGGCCCAGCCTAATCCAAATCCACATATCTGAAGCAGCCCTGGGGTCCATGAAACATCTGAAGTACTGGGACGGGTCACTTAGGGATGTGAATGCCACAGACCCAGGAAGCTGGCTGGCCCTGATCCTCCCAACACCGGCTAAGCACCTACAGGCTGGAGCCGTTAGGTGCCTTGGTCAGCCCTAGATTATGAGAGCACAAAGGATGCCAGATGGGGTGAGAAGACTAGGGCTCCAACCTTGGCTGTACAACGAACCTGAGCTGAGATCTTCTCAGGAAAGCCTTTCGACCTACCTGGGATACTAATACCTGCCTTACCAAATTTACAGGCTCTTCTGAGCAGCGAATCAGACGAGAAGAGCTTTGCAAAAAGAATTATTAATACAGACCTCGGTGAATACTCTGCAGTCATCCGCGCTGGTGTTCTAAAAACTAATGCCAGAGGGCGCTCCGTCTCCGATGATGAGCTCCAAGACCGACATGTGGTCCCCTAGCCAGGAATGAATCACCCTGGGGCTGCATCACAAGCACCGGAAGCATCTATTCAAAGCTAATTTAAGGAATCCCAAGTAGTTCATAGGTCTGGGCTTTCTGTTCATCCAGAAAATGGTGAAGATTAAAATCCAAACTAGGACTTACAGGGAAATAGGAGGCACTGTTTAAAGGAAAGCGAGGGAGAAGACGGGGGAGCCCAGACCGGGACCCTCAGCATCACCCTTCCAGTGTTCCCATGACATAAGGCTCAGGGGCACTTTCCTCATTCTACTTTAATTCCAAGCCTTCCTATCCTAAGTGGAGGCAACATGGTAAGATGAACGAGCACAACCTTAGGAAAGTCACTTGGAAATTCTGGGCCTCAGTTTCCTTATCTGTAAAATGGGAATAGTAACTCCTCCCAGAAATGTGAGGATTATAGGACCTGATGCAAACAGAAACACATGTACAACCAGCAGAGGGTAGATACTCAACAAACACCAGCCTCTCAGCGCAGCTTCCGACCAGTACGCCAGGCAGGCCAGGTTTCAGGAGGAGGCACTGCACGGACATGCTGGAGTACAAGCTGCAGGATGCAACGGTTCACACAAACGGGAGCCTCGGAGACCTTCTCAAGTGGCTGCGACAATACTGAGGCCTACCTGAAACACAGGGTTTGGCAATCTCAAAGAGCACTGTCCCTGTCTCCAAGTCTCGAATTTTGAAACGGGTGAAATCAATACTGTAGATGTTATCTTCGGGTTTACATAAATAATCTGAAAATAAGAGAGAGAGAGAAAGACAAATGCTGTTTAATAATCCTCCAAAACTATCATTTCTTTCTTTGTCAAGTTTTGAAGCAAACTCAGGCTTTTTCTTCCTACACAATTCACTTAAAATACACCCAAAAACTTCCTCTTATGTTACAAGCAAAAGTTGTGTGAGCAGAATAAGGGAATCGAAGAAAGAAAACAAGAGCATGGATTTGGATGGGATGAAAGATTATCATAACACTTTTAGAAACAGGGATAGTATCAGGGGCTTGCTTTGGAAACACCCCCAAAATGGCCTACAAGGCCTCCATAATCTATTAACTTGATGTCACAACAGAATTTTTTTACAAATTCATTTTAAAACATTTATGCTGATCTAATGGCCAATATAGTGCCTGTTTGCCGGCCTTGAGTATCGCACAGCAGAGATCAGCAAATGTTTTCTGTAAAGGGCCACATCTAAATAATTTAGACTTTGGGGCCACACTGTCTCTGTCACAACTAAACTCTGTCTCTGTAGCAAAAAGCAGTCACAGACAACCTGCATATAAATGAGCAGGTCTGTAGTCCAATAAAACTATTTACAGACACTGAAATATGAATTGCATATAACCATGTGTGCTGAGATTTTTTTTTCCCTCAACTATTTAAAAATGTAAAAACCACTCTTAGCTTGCAGACTGTACAAAATCAGGCAGTGGACCATACCTACACAGGTGACAGGGCAGATCTGCTGGGAGGGCACTGGGCCAAAGTGAAGTGGAGCCCGTGACAACCTGAGCAGCTGGTCAGTATGGTACTGATCATAGGAAACTTCCCTGATTTCTTTCTACGATGTGACTCCTGATAGCATCTTCTTCTCCACAACTCATTTGAGCACTTTTTCTTACACTGTCTGCTTGTGTTAGTTGTTCCATGTTTTACAAGCTGTCTCTCCAGTAATATGGCAAACTTGAGAGCCGCTGATACTTTGTAAAACCTAAAAAGACTGAGATGGCTTCTGCACCTTTCGAGGGTATTCAATAAATAACTTGCTGAATGGAACAGCCTTGAACAAAATCCAGAGGTCACCACGCTCTGACCTGTGGCTGTCTCCAGTAGGCTGCTGGGGTGAGTTTGAGCAAAAGCACCAATCCCGAGCTCTTACACATGACCTGAGTGCCCACTGAGAATGCTGCTAAGGGCCAGGCATTAGAATGGCCTGATTCACCCTTGGTATCAGGAGAAAGCAGGAGGCTAGAAAGCTCAGGTGATGAGCACTTCTGGACCTTCAGAGAAGCCCCATATGAAAACGGGGACAGAAAAGAAGCAGAGTTTTCACAATGCTTCAATAAACTGAATAGCAAGACCTTCCATAGATATACTCAGGCATGCAAAGGACAGGCCCAACCCAATGAAAGGGGGGACATTAAAATATCAAGAATCAAGTTAAACCTATCAGGAGATGGGAATTCCTTTTCATACAGGCTGGACCAAGGCCCACTGTCTAAACTCCTGCCCGCAAATTACTGGAGCTGCCACCAGCTACCTGAGGTACACCTGAGCAGCCCCAGGCTGACAGCTAAAGCAATTCAGCAGGTAACGCTGTGGCAGCCTTAGATCCACGGAAGGAGTGCTGGTGTCGCAGGGTTAGAAATCTGGAGGGCGGCAAGGATGGGCAAGGCAAGCAGGGTCTAACCTGGGAGAGGGGGAAATAGCAGCAAGAGAAAGGGTGGCAAGTCAGGGCTTGGCTTGGAAGAGAATATAAAAAGGGAGAAGAACCAAGACAGGGGGTGGGCAATGTATTTCTTCCCACCCTTCCTTATTATCAATGAAACCTTGTAGGATGGTTGCATTTTACACAAGAAATTCTTAAACCCTGACACATTCTTAATTCACTAGAACAGGTGTCAAAAGCGAGATTCACATTTTAGACTGGGTACATAAACTGAAACTTTATTAACATATTTTCTAAAGTGGCAGTTTTAAATTTGCATGAAACGCCACAGCAGTATGTTTGAGGAAAGAAGGGCCCCCCTGCACACAAAGGGGCAAGGCTTGGGACCAAAGGAGTAAGAGGGCCAAGGCAGGCTGGAGAGGGGGCTGTCAGGGGACGGAGTGGAGGGAAAGGCAGAGAAAGCAGGTAGGGGTCTGGGCGGGCAGAGACTGCAGAGGCTGGGAGTGGGCAGGCTGAGGGAGCCTGGCTGAGCAGGAACTTCACTGATACCCGTGGGTCTTCCAGGACGAGGGGCAGCGGTCCCATTTAACCAGGGTCAGGAGGTTCCGGTTAAGCTAAAGGGGCTCCCTACCCAAACGGATCCAGCTGAGGAGGAGAACGGCCCAGCCTGGAAGCCCAGCTGGGGCCCGCCCAGGAGGAGCCTGGCGTGGCCGGACACAGGGGAGCGCGGTCAAGCTCAAGGAGAACCCCTTCCCAACCAGGTCTGGGTGAGGGTGGGGAGCACAGAGCCGTCCCGGCAGAGCGGCGGGCGACGCGGCCTGGCCGGCCGAGGGGGTCTGGGTGGACCCCGGGCCGGTCAGGGGGCCAGCGGCCGACTCCACTGAAGGCGATAAGGGGCCCAGGTCCCGGGGCGAGGGCAGGGGCGCGGTCGGGCCGGCACTCACTCTCGGTGACCCTGCTGAGGCGCAGGACGTGCTCGGGCCGGATGGTGTCCAGAGCCAGCAGCTCCTGCTCCGTGACCGCCGCCCCGATGCCGTCCTCTGCCGCGTGGTGGGGCGCCTGCCGCCGCGCCTTGAGTCGGTTCAGCACGCCGCCGCCCGCCTTCTTCTTCTCTTCCTTGCCGGCCACCAGCCCCCCAGGCCCAGCCGCCGACCCCGCGGCCGCAGCCTTCGGGTTCGACCCGCTCATCGCTCCGCCGCCAAGATGGCCGCCGCCTCCGCAGCGCCGTAACTATGGAGAGCGGGGGCGGGGTCCGGGGTGGTACCTGGGGGCGGGGGCGGGTCTGGGGGCGGGGCCTGCGGGCTGCAGCCAGCCGCCTCCTCTGCCAGCTAGGTCCCAGCCAGGTGGGGAGCCCTAGGGGTGGCCGGGGGTGCCAACCCCCCAGACTCCATCAGGCTCCGAAGGTCACTCCAAATGTCTTTAAAATATTTCACACAAATGACTTTCTGTCATATAAACTAGGCAAGGCATCTTGAGGAAATGTTTTCTAATCTGTAGCACAGAAGTTAAAACAAGTGCTTGCTATGCAAAAGCAGCTTTCCCAATTAGATTACCATTTCTAAACCCTACTGTGCTAAGCTTTGAGCTAGACATCGGGCTAGATTACAGGAAATGTAAGAATATGAACCAAGACAGGGATTAGGTCCACCCTATTCACTACTGTATTCTGGCAGCAGAGTTAATGCCTGCCACGGTCGGTGCTCAGTAATGACTGAATGAGTGAAGGCATGCCCCACAATAAAGGAGCTCCCCCTTTGTTGGGGAAGACTGTGAAGTACATAATTCATTATGTGGCGCTTCCTCTTGACCAGCCCAGTATGAATGAACTAGAAGACGAGCCAGACTGCTAACTGCTCCAACAGAGGTACAGCAATGGTGCTACTGGAACACACAGGAGTGGCCTGGCCGAATCAGAAGGGGCTTCACAGAGGTAACATCTGCACAGAACGGGGGAAGTTAATCATGATTTCACTAAGTGGAGGAGGTGGGCCAAGGGGTTGGGCGGGTAGGTGGAGGGTGGGTTAAGGCTGCCCTCTCACACCCCAAGTGGCTCCTTCTCTAGGGATTCTGGGTCAACAATCTTCTGTGTTAGAGGCCTGGGTCCAACTGTTGTACTGCGTCTGCTAGGTCTGATATCACCTCTTAGCCAGACTTAGACCAGAGTGAAACTCCACCCCTCTCCCCACAATCAGCCTCAAGACTTGGTTTATACCAGGCCTTGCTCGGTCCCTCTCACCTTATGTAAGGGGCTTGGGAGGAGCTGACAGGCCTAGCCTGGTTCCTGGACAAAATCCAAACCTGACTCCACCCCAGCTGCCCAGCCTACTGGAACAGTATGTGGCCGAGTTCCTATCTAAATGCTGCCCTATCTTTGAGAGATTACAACTGGGTGGCATTTACCAAACCGTTCAGGAAAATTTTATTTATTTATTTCTTTTTAAATATTTTATTTGAGAGAGAGAGAGAGATCACAAGCAAGGGGAGGGTACAGGGAGAAGCAGACTCTCTGCTGAGCAGGCACCTAATGTGGGACTCAATCCCAGGACCCTGGGATCATGACCTGAGCCTAAGGCAGATGCTTAACTGACTGAGCCACCCAGGTGCCCAGTTCAGGAAAAATTTAATAGATGTGTACAAAGAATTAAAGTCCTTCCCTTCGCAAACAACTCTTTTTAAACCACTCAGCAGTGAGTGGTTACTGAAGAATTTCCAGAACTTTTAATATGCTACTTAATTGTGAATCACCAGGAGGGAGGCTCAGCATGCAGCCATTTCCCACACTCACTTACTCACTAAACCTTCGTTCTCAGAACACCAGGACTAGTTACCTGGATCCCCGCTTTTCTTTCTAGGAATTATAAGAAATGTATTACCCCCCTTACCTGCAACTCCAGATCCTTTAGCACAAAGATGTTTAACAGGACCATTTGTAACACTGAAAAATTACAATAAATTACAGTTGCACCCATTCATGTTATGCAGCTGTTAAAAAGAATGAGATCCATCTATATGTACCAGTATAGAGAGAGCTTAAAGATATATTAAGGGGGGGGGAAGCCTCAGAATCCCATTTGTTTAAAATAAAAAGGACATGAATATATGGATTTGTATTTGTAACTGCAAAGGAAGAGGTCTGGAAATGCACTAAAGTGTTAACCATGGTTCCCTCTGAGGAGGAGAGTATTGGAAAGACACGAGAGCTACTTATGCACTGTTTTATCACAGCAGGCATGTGATCATAGGTTGCTTGTATATATATATCTTAGGATCTCTGTCTGGAAAAAAATGCAAAGCCAAAGTAGCCTTCTCTTCTCTTAAAATTTACAAGCAACTTCACACATGATCACTTTTTTCTGCTCAAAAGAAAGTGAAATAAAAACTGCCATATAAGGGAGTTAGGGCCTGTACTCTCTCAGGTCACCACCTATGAATGTGATTAAAAGGAGAAGG